GGTCCGGATTGGACCGCACCCTTCTGTCATGGGCGCTCTTCCTGCGCATTTTGCGTGCGCCGCGACGGGGGTGCCACCGGGCCCCCGCCGCGCCCCCTTGTTGTTGGTGGGGGCTGGTGAGCCGGGAGTCCTCAGCTCCCGACTCACCCCCTGGGATCCCTCTGCTATCCCAGACTTTTCCCCTTTTGGTCGCCTCTTACGACGGGCAGGGGATACCCCGGGCCTATTCGTTGGCGGGCCCCGGACGCCTTGCGGAGGGATCACCCCTCTCTGTCGACTTTTGGTCGGCCCCTCCCCACTTGCCAGGGGGAGATGTCCTTCCCTACCTAGCTCTCGGGAGAGGAGGGAGGTAGCAGGCGTACTGTCCCCGTCCTTACGGGCAAGGACAGCCGTCCCGCGAATCCCACCCCCCTCCACCGGGCAACCAGCCTCTTCGATGCGCGGCCACTCCTCTCCTCCTCCTTCTTCTCCTGGCCGCTGCTGCTCCTTGGCAACCGGAGGGATCTGCCTCCCCCCTACGTATCCTTTCCGCGTTCTCCTTCTCACGCATCACTGACTCGCAGTAAGCCGAGAACGCCTTCCACTTGTCCTCGCCCTCCACTATCGCTTCCACCACCTTCGGGAGGGCGAGGTCATCGCCGATCGCGTCCCTCAGGACGCGCCTCTGCCCAGCCCACGCCGGGCAGTGCTCCAGCGTGTGCTGCGCTGAGTCGTCCGCGCTGTCACAATGGTGACAGCGGGACGTGTCCTCTCTTCCGATCCGCCGCAGGTACCTACCGAAGCAACCATGCCCGGTGAGCACCTGCGACGTCCGGTACGAAGCTCTGGCCCAAGGACGCTCGAGCCATGCGTCCAATTGAGGGAGGATGGCCGACACAGTCCTCTGGCCCGCGCAATCTGCTCGCCCGAGCCACTGCCGCCACTCCTCCCTCATGTCCCTCTTCAGCTGAAGGGCTATGGCCCTTCTGATCCTGGGGGTTACTGGATCTCCCCTCCTCTTGGCCTCGGCCACCTTGTTATAGATAGCCGCGTGGACCTTGGCGGTCAGCTCTATAGGCGGTATGCACGCCATCAGTGTTGCCGCCGCCCTAGACACGGTTCGGTATCCCCGAATGACCCTGATGGCCATTCTCCTCTGCGTTTTGCGCAGGACGGCCGCAGCCGTCTTCTCCTTTTTCAGGGCGTCTGCCCATATGGGGGCACCGTAGTGGGCAATGGAGTTTGTAACGTTGCTGTACAGCTTCCTCACTCTGCCATGCGGCCCCCCCAAGTTGGGCATCACCCTGGACAGGGCGTTTGCCGCCGCGTCGAGCCTGGGCCCCAGCCCAGCAAGGTGGTCTTTGCAACTTCCACTTCCCGTCAATCCGTAGGCCCAGGTATTTTATTACCTTGCCCACTTGTATACTTGTCCCATCGACAGAGATGGTCATGTTAGGTGGCTCGCCCCTCTTTCCATCGTGGATATAAACTGCCTCCGTCTTCTTCGCGGCCACATTCATCCCCAGGGCTGCAATGGCTCTCACCGCGCACGCCACGGCGATGTTGGCGTTATTGGCCGCGTCCTGCCACCCATCCCCGCCGGCAAGCACGAGTGTATCATCTGCATAGCAGACCATCGTGCTGCCGGCGGGCATGGGTGTCCTCAACACCCTGTCGTATGCGACGTCCCACAGGATCGGTCCAAGGACCGAACCCTGCGGGACGCCACGCACCGCGTCCCATTTTCTGGGATCCCCCTCTCGATCTTCGCAGGCTA